ACTATTTCTGCTAGTAGAAACACTTTGAACTCTTTCAGGAAAAATAATATAATATATAAAATTATGCCTTTATGGATCTATTTAGGTACTGCTGTCTAAATTATACTTGTTATCTGGTTATTGTTGTTGTTGTTGTTGTTGTTATTGTTGACCTGTCTGTCATTACGGAAGGGTTGGGGTGGAGGCCTCTGGGATATATATTTGGGGTGGGAAGTTGTAAGCTATCAACTGAGAAGTGAATATGAACGAACCCATGTGGATGCACCAAATTACCAGGAGTTATGGTTAGGTAGGGCGATAAGTATCCATACTGAAAATCATACAATCAAATCATAGTGAATCAGAATAAATATGATAGCAGTTGAATAAGTTATCAAAATTATACTATATTAACTGGAGTAGGGGGGTACCATTGCACTTTTGAGAACATGCTCACCCAACAGTCTAAGTACATTTCCTGCTATAGGTAGTAGCAAGCACAATGCCATGTGGCCATATAGGCAGACTGCAGCCCCGGAGGTCCGTTGTCATATAGTCAGTTACCCATGAATTTGCAGAAAAGGGTGGAAAAAAAACGAGTGAAAGAACTTTAAGCACTACTTCTATTCATGATCTATACCACGTTGCTCGATGGAGGCTAAATGCAAGACCACACAGTAGCTTCCCTGCCCTCCAATTGCTGTTATCCAGGGCCTATTGCAAGATCTAAACCATCGACTTTTCCACGTTCAGGTCACCTGTTGCTTGGGTCTCGGACCTGCTCATGGTGGTATATCGACTAAAGTCCCGGAGCATCCTCTCTCTGCCAGTTTCCTTTGGACTGGCCCTTCTGAAATAAATGCGCTTGCACCACTTCCAAGCCTCGCAGCCAAGGAAGAAAAGAATCGCTTCGACAAACACCACACCCCACTCCCAGGATATCCCGACATGTTTGAAAACAACGTCATTAATCACAGGGATGTACAGAATAGGGAAGGTCGTGATGAATCCGATCATGATGCCGCTGAACAGAAACTTGTTGCGCCAGACGTCAAACATCCACTGGGTGAAATAGCGCTTGGAACCGGGCTGCATGCGGAAGAAGCTGCGGCGCATATCGATCATCTCCCAGGCGAGGAAGAGAGCGAACCAGGTCATGCACACGAAGGTGGTGGCTCGGGCGCGGAACACACCGTCGCATTGTGGGCTGTAGTCGCTGTTGCAGCCTGAGGCCAGGTTACCATCTCCCCAGGCGAAGAGGACAAGCGAGAAAGAGGCGAGACTGAGAGCCGCCATCCAGACGCCGTAGACGATGGTGTCGACTATGACTTCCCAGGTGAAAATACCTTGTTTCTGTTGCCGTCAGTATGTTTGATCAAGCCCAAGAGTCGCTGATGTACTTACGCTTTGAGGAGGACGGTCCATGATATCTGGAGCGGCGATTTCCATGCCCAGTCCCATATCAGGGAGACCGGAGGTGATCATGATGATCCACAGAATTTCGACAGGAGCAATAGGGAACACAGATTGCCCGTTGTCATCTTTGAAACAGAGACCGATGAGAAGCGTGAGGGCGAGACCGACGTTTTCCGCCAAGAGATGCAAGACGAATTTCTGAATATTATCGAAGATACGACGACCTTCCTCAATCCCGTTGATAATTGAAGCAAAGTTATCATCAGTTAACACCAGCTCCGATGCATCCTTGGCCACATCGGACCCTGACTGTCCCATAGCGATTCCAACATCTGCCCGCTTCAAGGATGGCGAGTCATTGACTCCATCACCGGTCATTGCCGCAAACCGACCCCGACGATGAAGGGCATCAATCATCCGAACCTTTGTATTGGGAGCGCAGCGAGCAATCACAGCGGGAAGAGTAGGCAACTCATCGATTTCCTGATCTGTCAATTTGTCGAACTGACTGGCAGTCATCACCATGGCGTCAGCCACATCTTTTGCAAGGCTGTCCATGTCCGCTGGAATGATGCCAACCTGCGCTGCAATGGCTCGCGCAGTACCGGGGTGGTCACCCGTGACCATGTGGACCGAGATCCCAGCGCGATAGCACTCGTCAATAGCGCCTGCAGTCTCAGGCCGGGGAGGGTCGTACAGGCCGATGAGTCCACAGAAAGTGAGATCTTTCTCCACTTCTTCACGAGCAGGGACATCTTCCCCTTTGACAGGGTCGGGATTCTCCCGGCAGGCGAGGCAGAGAACCCGCAAGCCCTCCTTTGCGAGAGCTTCCATGTTCTGTAAGATTTCATCTTTGATATTCTCATCTAAGGCGATCGGGTCGGAACCAGCTGTCCAGGTGACGGTGGTGCAAGCCTCGAGGACTCGTTCCACCGCGCCCTTGGTGAAGATCATCTCCCGGTCATCATTGCTGTTCTTGAAGATGACGGACATCTTCTTCACGGTGGAATCGAACGGATATTCGGCTTTTTGGCGCCAAACAGGCTTCTCGCCTTTGGTCCAGCGATCGCGTCCCCAATCAAAGCGAGAGGCAAATACCTGAATTGCAATATCGGTGGGTTCACCACGGGCCTGCCATTCATTGTGCTCAGACTTGTGCACATGGGCCAGATTGGCCATTGCGGCCACGTTCAAATACTGCTCCAGGAGAGGATTGTCCCTGAGCAGATCGTCCGGACTGGAAGGCTCTCCTTGAGCGTCAGGACCAACTTTGACTGGCGGGTCAGGCAGCAGGCTCAGGTCACCCTCTTCTGGGTTCAAGGGGTTATTAGACGCCCCAACCGAGTAGGTGCCGACAGAGGGAATCCAAACCCGCTTGGCGACCATGCGCCCCTGGGTGAGGGTTCCCGTTTTGTCTGAGCAAATGTTAGTCACAGCGCCCAGGGCTTCAAGGGAATCAAGCTTCCGGACAATGACATGTCTTTCAACCATTTGCTTGGTGCCAACCGCCATGGTGATGGTCAGGACCACCACCAGGCAGGCTGGAATCATCGCAAGACCCGTCGCGACTGCGTAGATGATGACCTCTTTGTCATTGCGGAACCCATTGACACCCATGACGATAATGGCGAAGATGACAGCAATGACGAAAAGCGCCAAAGCCAGTTTGGAGAGTTTGCGTTGCAGCGGTGTGCCAACATTAATTCCCAGGAATCGTCCCACGGCGTCTGTGCAGGTCAGGGTCCATGCCTGCACGTACCATCGTTTCTTGGTTTCTCCCTCAGGTCCGCGCTTGACGGGCCGCTTCCTAGAGTCGCTGGCGCGAAGAGCAGCGGCGATGGCCCCAATCTCTGTTTGCATCCCGGTGCCGATGACAACGCCCCGAGCTCGGCCTCTTGTCACCGTCGAGGAACTATACGCGATGTTCAAGCGATCGCCGGGCCCCGTGTCCGGGTCAAAGGTTGTATCGACCTCTTTCTGCACTGGTAGCGACTCGCCAGTCAGGAGGGCCTCGTCTGTTTCGAAATTCATAGCATCAACGAGCCTATCAACTGTTAGCGAACAGAATGGTGCCTGTCTGGTAACCTCATACGCACCGAAGATCTGCAGGAACCGTGTCTCCAACCTTGAGTTCAACCATGTCCCCAGGGACAATCTCGTTGGCAGGAATGGTATTGGTTTTGCCGTCACGCGTGACGGTTCCGGTGGGAGAACTCAACGATCGAAGGGAGTCCATTGTCTTTTCTGCGGCATAGTCTTGATAGACACCTACCACGATGTTTAAAGCGATGACAGCTCCAATGACACCACCTTCGATCCAGGATTGAATGCCGAAACTGACCGCCATGGCAATGATAAGGACCTGCTGTCGTCAGTTGTCTGTCATGATCTGTGGAACAATTGAGAGACTAACCAGAATCATGGCATTTGCAATCTGCCTAATAACAATCTTGACCATTGAAACACCCTCTCCCCCTTCCAGCTCATTCGGGCCATACTGTTGGAGTCTTCGCTTCGCCTCCTCCAATGTCAGACCCTCGTCTGGATCGACGGCCAGCTCACGAAGGACATCCTCATAGCGAAGAGCGTGAGGAGGCTGAGACAAAGCCTGAGAGTTGTCAGATGATTGCTTCTTCTGAGCACCCATGTTATAAGGAAAGTTCTATTCCAGTGAAGTTATCTTAAGGAGGCTTCATGTATATCGTATCTTCAAGCGAGTGAGAGTCCATACACAATGAGTTTAAACCAACTTTGAAACTAAAGCCTGGATTGCAGAATCAGATTTTCTTTCTCTTCCCTTGCGGGGGTATCGCGACGTATTTAAAGTCACGATATCTCACTCAACCACCGGGAACCCCGAACCCCCCTATGACGCGAACTGTGGTTCCAATCTTGGCACCCTTATCAATCCGTACTCGTTTACACTACACACCAATCACATTCCCAACCCTTCGCATACATAGAGGGAATCGATCCAGAATCTTGGCCGAATTCCTTGGGTCGGTGCGCGAGCGTTTGCCGCTTCCCGGCCCGATGACGCACACGACAACAGACACGGCCGACATCCCACCCACGTGAGCCCCTTCGGCCAGGTGATACCAAGAAACTGCCAAGCCTCACGGCGAATAAGTGGCCAATCCTTTTGGAGTACCCGGTATGATTGGCTGAGCAAGGCAGCCGCGGCGCAATCCGGAACCACCGTGCCAAGAGCGGGAGCCTTGGCGGTCTTGGGGTTATTTCCCGCCTGGCCGGTCCTGGGGGGTTCCTTTGTGGGCTGAGAGCCAGTGACAGCCCTAAATGCAGGCTGGTCCCCCTCGCCAGACGGCGCCCGACGCCCAACACGGCCTGTGCTATTTTCCCTAGTGTTTTCGCGCTATGTGGATGTTTGTTTTCTGAATGGCTGTCTGATATCCTCCCCTCCTCAGTCCCCACAACGTTGACTGTGTTTTGTTTCGACGGGCTTCGTCGAAGGTGCACAGGCGCTCGCTTTGAACTGCTTGCGCATATATTCTGGCTTGTTGAGGCTAGCCGATTTACCCGATTACGTGTCATCCGTGGGTTGTTTCTCATTTTGACTATACACTTCGTCTACGAAGTGAGCGTCTATGGCTAGCAATGGCGAGATCGCAGGTGTAGTCGCGGGAGCAGTCGTCTTATTCGTCGCCATCAGTGTGATCCCTATGTGAGTTTCGACCTGTCCTTCCCTTCGCTGGGAATGTCCTATAGTTTTCTATACGCCTCGTTATGAATGCCCAGAACGCTGGAATCGGACAAAGAAGACAAGATCTACTGCGTACAACTAACAAACTTGGAACACAGCATCATCATGTGGCGGCACCGCAGGAAAGAGGCTGCAAGAAGGGCCCGCGAGCTGGCTGCATTGCGAGAGTATGGCTGCATGCAACAGGTGGGCGTGGAGAGATGGCTGGAAGAGCAGCGGAAGGATGCCGTTGCGGGCAGCCGAAGCAACAACAACAACACTAATGTCCATGATTTTGGACGGTACACGCAAGAACCGTGGTAAGTCCCCTTCTCAGACTATCGGCCTCTTCCTTTTTTTTCTTGGCCTTGGAGACAATGCGGGGACAGGGCTGCACTAGTGGCCTTGGCTGCTCTCATCAGTGAGACATTGTCAATCCGTTATCACGCCGTCACTAATGAGTAATCGTGGGTTTGTTCTCATAGCGCCGTCTGCCTCTCAACCTTGCTACCCTCGTCGCCGTCGCAATCATCGCTTCCGTGCTCGGATCCGGAGCGTCACTCACAGAGCAAATCTGACCTGGGCCTTCCTGCGGAAGCATCTCTGCTCGTTCTCAATCGCTGTGGCCATGCGTTTCATTACTCCTGTCTTGCGTCATGGTGGGAATACCGTCCGTACAGGTGCCCAGTATGTCAGGCATCGTACGCCCCGGACGAATGACATTCAAGTTTTTGCTTGCTTTTGTTGCTCTCTTCCAAGTTGGCTGGACTTTCTTGGAACCGTGGTTAGCGCTTATTTTGCTTTTGCACTGGCTTGTCATGTAAAATCACTATCCAGTACAGCAATCTGACTTGGCATAATGGCGAAAAGCAGGCGGCACTGGATAAGGTCATAAATCCTAGTCTCTCAAATGGATGTTTCTCATCCCCAACATCCACTGAGACATTCGAAGAGATGTGGTTTCCAACTCTAAATGCACTAGAGGCCTGGAAATAGATCAGATATCAGAGTCTCCGCATCTCAAGTCTTGTGCCCCAGATTATTCTGGTAAGACAAAATCCTGCAGCTGGGACTCTTGCAGTTAGATCGCCAACTAGCCGTATCCTGGGCACTTTTTGCCAAGATTATCGCTGGTTTTCGAACGTTCTCAAGTCTCTGTTGATCGAAGAGAGTCAATCAGATTGGCCATCTTTGCATTGGGTCAACCAGCGTTGTAATATGGAAATTGCTTCTGAGAAGACGCAAAAAGGCCAGATCCACAAATAATCTCGTCAAAGCGTCGGCTGACACGGCTGTAGTTCTGCCCATACCGTCCCAACTCTCGTAGCCGGATAGACACCCAATCCTGATAAATCCTGTCGGCGGTAGCCACGCCGGCCATGAAGAGCGGCCACGTGATGCGCACCATGAGGTGCGGTCTGCTTCGATGGAGCTTCAGGGATAGCTCCAGGACGAGAGAGACGGCCTTTTCTTGCGACATCAATCCGGCCTGCATGGACTTGGCTGGAAGTAGTTTGCCAAAGCATAGGTGGAAGTATACAATCGTGCTGTAATACGTGATGGCTGCCCAATAGATTGTCTCCATCACGCGGCGCCCGTCTCCCACGATATCACACGACGGGGCGGCTTTTGCAGAAGAGAGAAGCATTTCAAACTCCTAGCATGGTCCTGTTAGTTCTGACCAGCATCATGGGGCAGCTCGGTCTTACATTCGCTATCTTGACTATCTCATCAACAATCTGCTGATAAGATGCTTCGTTCCACGAGGTGCTTCTTGCTTGCCGAAATAGCTCGGTGATCCTGAATTGAACCACATGGCTTTTGTGGTAAAGGGCTAAGCCGGGATAATTTTCCATATCGTCTAGTTGCGCTTTGGCTGGGTAGGCCCCTCCCCAGAACTTCGAAGGCGACTGTCTACTGATGCGATAGAGGTTCTCTAGGTTCAATGGCGTGTTTCCATCTTCTGCACGAAGGAAGAGACGGAAGAGACGGCAGAGATCATCGTTGACTTTCTCAAACCCTGGTTCATATACAGCGCCAGGTCCAAAGAAAAGCACGCCCGGCGTAAAGAAGTAGAGGGTCCACAGCAGGAATAGAGGCACTGCCGTATAAACTAGCTTTCTGTCAGATGGACCAGCTACCGAATCGACTGGACTGCTGGCAGCTCTCTCAATCAAGCTCGCACCCTTAGCGGAATTGTCAAACAACGAATCCGCCGTTTCAGGACTCCCGGCAGTAATTGCAGGGGCCAAACACTCCTCAAGTTTTAGTAGAGGTAATATATGGTTATGCAGTAGGCTTTCGACGCCTCGCAAATGAATGTTGATTGTAGAGGCGCCACTCCCAAACCGATTCTCATAATCGACCATGAGCCACAACGTTATAAAAATCGCCTCGAGCTTCGACGGGGTCTTCGCGCCTTCAGTGAGCGCTTCACGGAGTCTGGACAACGCTGTACCATAGTGCACCCTGCCATCGATGTCGGACGAATCATTGGCCGGGAGATACACACGTGTACTGGAGCAATCGTGGAGACGTGATCGATGGATTTCACTGGCAGTCGTGGCGAGGATCATACTCATCACCATAGGTTCCTTGACGGCTACTCTATGGTAGGTGTAGGAGATGGTGGACCACGGCCAATGTTTACCGAGTATAGTGACTAGGACAGAATCTTGAAGATAGTTCAAGCAAGACCGGTCGGAACCTGAGAGGACAAGCGAATTGGCAGCTTGCAGGCTACTGTCATGGGTGCAAGCAGGAAGCAAGGCAGTTTGCAAGTCAGCCAGTCTCCTCATCGAGCCATGCGAGCTAGCATGGATCCTTGACTCCTGACTCTTTCTATCCCCTGTCGTTGACCGACGAGGAATCGGCCCACCTTTCCATTCGCAGGCGATTCGAGCGACCGAACACCGCCTGCATTGGGGTTCTTTCTTACTGTCGACGATAATCCGCTCCTCATCGCATTTCACTTTTCGGATTCGACACGTACGGCAACCTGCATTCTATGAATCATCGCTGACAGACCAGAGAGCAGGTAATCATACCAGTCTTGGAACGTGATTTTCGGCCAGTCTTGTACATATTGAACCATTGAACAGCCAAAATCCCTCGCACCAGACAAGTCGATGACTAGCATTACTTTCGACTCTCAGGTCCGAACACGCGGGCATCAGCGGGGTTCACCGGCGGGGTATGACTATCCGATGGGTCCTCTTATCATCAACGACTCGCATGAAGGGATCAGATGAGGAGAGTTGAGAGATAAGTTGAGCACCCACCCAAGTCGGCAACGAAGCGAGGATGCGGAGAAATGCCGATTCCATATTCCTGATTGGCTGCGTCGGCTAATTACACGTGACCTCGTACTGTCTCGGCCAATCATGACATTTGGAGTCATGACAATCCCCATTCGGCAAGTCAATACGTTGCCGAGATGGAGGTTGAAGGTTGCAGTGATGTCTTAGCAGAACAAGCATATAAAATGCCTCCGAGCAGCATTGGCTCGAAGGGTCTCGAAATGATTGAGAAGGATGACCAAGAACCAGACAAGCATAATGCAGCTCTCAGTATCTCAACAACGATTCATCGGAAGCGTTCGCGATGCCATTCGCAAGTATGACGCGCAGCTCAAAGATATCAACAACAAAGTGAGTTTGACTTCATCACTACCATAACGTCCGCTAAGCATTCCAGATCTGGTCGGACCCGGAACTTGCTTATGAGGAACACAAAGCGCACGACAATATCTGCGCGCTATTCGACGCCCTTGAAGGATACGAAGTGCGTAGAAAGGCCTATGGCCTGAACACGGCTCTAGAAATTGAGTACAAACATGGTGCCGGCGGTCGTGTCGTGGTATTCAATGCAGAATACGACGCACTACCCAATATCGGGCACGCATGTGGGCACAACCTCATTGCGACAAGCTCCATCGCTGCGTTCATGGCCACTTGCGAAGCAATAAAAATCCACTGCCCCGAGGAGCTCGGGTATACCGTGCGACTTCTGGGTACCCCCGCCGAAGAGTCCGGCGGCGGAAAGGTGCGCCTGCTGGAGAATGGGGCGTATAAAGATGTCGACGCGTGTCTCATGGTTCACCCCATGCCTATGGTTCCCAGTGCTCCGGATTTGCTGTGTATAGCTACAACTGTGCCAGGAGGCTTCCTTGCCAATGATAAGGTACGCGTGACTTTCACCGGCAAACCGGCGCATGCGGCAGCCGCTCCGTGGGAAGGGATCAATGCTCTTGATGCTGTGGTTTCTGCATATGTAAACATCTCTCTCTTGCGGCAGCAGATCCGGCCCACTCAGAAAATTCACGGGATCATTGTCAGTGGAGGAGATCGGCCGAATGTGATTCCCATGTCTGCAACGGTGGACTACTACATCCGGTCAGACACAGCTAAGAGTCTGAAAGTCCTTACAGACAAGGTGGTCAAGTGCTTTGAGGCAGCTGCAATGGCTACGGGTTGCAAAGTCGACTTTGAATGGTGAGTGCTTAAGACCTTGTGGAATGTATCCTCGTGCTGATCATGATAGGGGAATTTCATATGCCGATCTGAAGACGAATCGTCCCATCTGCCAGAGTTTTGTATCTGTGATGCGCGCAATGGGTCACCATGCCCTCTATGACAACGCCGGGCAGCCAAACGGTCTCGGGGGAGGCTCTACAGACATGGGTATGAATCTTGCTGAGATTGTTCATTCCAACAGACTAACCTTCATATATAGGAAACGTGTCATATGCGGTACCTGGGTTCCATGGAATGTTCACCATTCCGGCTGAAGGAGTCAATCATACGCCACAGTTTACTGCCGGGGCCGGGTCACAAGCATCATACCAGAGATGTCTCGACTGCGCCGCAGGAATGGCAGTAGTCGCATGTCAGATGTTGGTGGACGATGAGTTCGCAGCACAGGTGAAGGAGGACTTCCAAACAGATACGTAGATCATGTTAGGACCTCATGTAGGCAGTATACTTCTAGGGCAGATTAGACATCGACATATGAGCGAAATGGAACATGATTCGACCGCATTGTTTTCTTGTCACCTTGTCTGATAAGGGGTGAGATAGAACACCTTCCAGCCTCGGCTCTTTTATCCTATTGACTCATCACTCTCAGATCAACTGCTATAACTAGCTGTATTCGTATACATATCGCCAAAGCCGCCAAGTCCTGCTAGCTTTGCCGACGCAGCCAATGGCACTATTCCGGCAGTATCAATCATCAGCGCCGTTATCTCTATATCCCTGGACTCAACTTTATCTCCAAAATGCGGGGTACAAGACAGAGATAGGGATGCCGGTGGATATAAATACGGATGTTGGTATACATAATGAAGCGAGACTGCAAAGTTGGGACAAATCGGGCAGCGTGCCTTGCATACTGTACAGTCCAACCTCGAGCACTTGCAAGCATACTAGTTCAAGATGGCAAACATGTCAATTGAGAAGACACTACCAGACAGCAAACATGCAGACGACCAAGCAAGTTTCGACGAGGGAGCTCTGCAACAGGTTCAAGAGCCCTCACTTGCCTGTTCGACCGCTGCAGAGAAAAGACTCGTCCGAAAGATTGACATTATGTACGTTTGATATGGAATCAGGCAATCAGTCTGCTATGTTACTAACAGCTATCAAGGATCCTCCCTATTATGACCTTTGCCTACATGATGGCCTTCCTAGATAAACAAGCCCTCAGCTACACGGCCATAATGGGCTTGCGAACGGATCTCAACCTCAGAGGGTCCGAGTATAACTGGTCAGGCAGCATATTCTACTTTGGCTATCTGTGTTTCTCATATCCTGCCTCGATTCTCCTGGTCAAGTTTCCACTGGGAAAGTATCTGGCCTGCAACTTGTTCGTCACTTCCCTAATCCTCTAGGGATGCACTGACAAGAATCCAGCATGTTATGGGCTATTGTTCTGGCTTGCCATGCCGCCACGACCAACTTCGCCGGGCTCATGGTGGCCCGTTTCTTCCTGGGATGCACCGAGGCGAGTGTCTCCAGCGGTTTCAGTCTGATTACTTCGCTGTGGTATCGGACGTCTGAGCAACCGCTCCGGCATGGGATCTGGTTCTGTGGAAATTCCATCTCGATGATCATAGGGAATCTCGTTGCGGTGGGAATATGGCAAATCAAGACCAGTCTGCAGTCGTGGAAGGTATGTCTACACTCCAAGTCTCTAATTTGATTATAGAGTCATAACGTCAAACAATACAGTGGCTCTTCATTATCTTCGGAATCATCACCTTCCTCTGGGGCATCCTCATGTTCTTCCGTCTCCCCGACACGCCCAATACAGCCAGCTTTCTCACAGAAGAAGAGAAGCTTCTCGCCATTGAACGCCTCAAGGCCAACAAAGCCGGATACAAGCGCAATAAGATCGACTCCGCCCAAATCATCGAGGCGTTCACCGATCCCAAGACCTGGATGCTGGCCGTCATGATCCTGGGCTTCAATATCCCCAACGGCGGATTCACAACGGCATGACCCGACCCTCTTCCCCCGAACACCGCCGATGCTAACACATCCCAGTTTTCAAGCCTCATCCTCTACGGCTTCGGCTTCTCAACCTTCAAAACCTTGCTGCTGGGTATGCCCGTCGGCGCTGTCATTCTCTTCTTCGTCTTACTCTCGTAAGCCCCCTCCCCTTCGCCTCCGCTTCTCCCCAGCTCTAACCCTACGATGATAGCTCCACCATATCCTCCAAAATCCAAAACTGCCGCTGCATCGTCATTGCCGCAGTAGGCTGTATCAGGTACAGCACCCTAGCCTACCCTACACCGCAACTGACCCTAACAATGACAATCGCACAGCATCCTAGGCAGCGCCCTCGTCTACGCGACCGAGTCCATCGCCTCCCGGTACGCCGGCCTCCTGCTCATGGGCGTCTACTCAGTTAGCATGCCCCTGTCGCTGGCAATGGTAGCCTCGAATATCGGCGGGTTCAGTAAGCGGGCGACTGTCAGCGCGATCTATTTCGTTATGTATTGCGCGGGAAATATCATTGGGCCGCAGTTGTTTTTTGAGCGTGAGGCGCCGAGGTATCAGGTATGTGTATTCGGCTATAAATGGAAGGGTTTGTACTGATGGATGCAGAGCGGGTTTCAGGCGGTCATTGTTTGTTTTGTGGTTGTGGTGGTGGTGGCTCTTGTGTTGGGGGCGTATTTGCGGTGGGAGAATCGGAGGAGGGATAGGGTTGCTGGTCCCGTTGAGGACGCTGAGAAGCCCACGGAGTTGGTGGATATTACTGATCTGACGAATATGCAGTTCAGATATGTGTACTAGACATGACCTGATATGCTACCTGTGGAAGGAAATCTATTCTCGTGCTATCGTATAGGACTAGAAACCTTTTCGTATAATAACATAACGTGCTAAAATCAATTCTAATTTTGATACAATCATTGAGCAGAAACGACCATCTTGTCCTTGACATAAAGATCAACGTACTTGTCAACGTCGTAGTTCTCCAGAGTAGAACGGTCCAAGCCAACTTGCAGAAGCTCGTCAATACGGGCCTGGTCGAAGTGGGCCTGCAGGTGGCGCTTGTACTTGGACAGAATCTCGGGCTTGGCCTCCTCACGTCTGAAGCGGTGTCCCAGGGGAGCCTCGACAACGACCTCCTCGAGAACGGTGCCGTCGTTCAGGGTAACAGTCAGAGCGTTGGGGATGGTGCGCTTGGCGGGGTCGTGGTAGTCAAGGGTGAACTGGGGGTCCTCCACACAGCGGATGCGCTTGCGCAGGTCCTCAACCAGAGGCGAGGTGGCGGCCTCGGAGCCGTCAGCGTAGTCCTCAGCAGTCAGGCGGTTGAAGGCCAGCATGGTGGCAACCATGTACTTGAATCAAGATCAGCAAAGCTTCCAAGGTCGAGTTCGAGCTGGAAACCTACCTGAACACAGTGGTCACGGTCCGCAAAGTTGTCCATAGCCTTGAATTGCTTGTCGATAATCCGGATGCAAGCCTCATGGGTCCGGTTGGTGATCTCCTTGATGTCCTTGGCGCTCTTACCCATAGCTGCCAGCTTCTTGTTGATAATCTGCGCGCACTCAATGGCGGTCTGAGAGTGGAACTCGGCTGCCAAGGGTTAATAGAGGACTCATCCAATTCTCATTTCCGCAAACTTACCAGGGTAGGAAACCTTGAAGAGAACGTTCTCCATGACGTAGCTGCCGTACGGGCGCTGGAACTTGAACTTGTTGCCCTTGAAGAGAACATCATAGAAACCCCAGACAGGGGCGGACAGAACGGTGGGAACACCGCCCTCGCCCTTCTGAACCTTTAGGACAAGGTTGACAGCACGCTGGCAGGCATCACCAGCAGCCCACGATTTTCTGGACATGGTGTTGGGTGAGTGTCTGTAGGTACGGAGACTCTGGCCGTCCACCCAAGCCTGGGTGATGGCATCGGCGGTCTGCTTCTCGTTGAGACCGAGCATCTTGGCAACCACAGCAGTGGTGGCAACCTTGACCAGCACAACGTGGTCCAGGCCGACCCTGTTGTACGAATTCTCCAGGGCCAGAACACCCTGAATTTCGTGGGCCTTGATCATAGCCTCCAGCACTTCCTTGACCTTCACAATCTTGCCATTTCCGAGGTTACCTCCGGCACGGTTGGTGCGGGAGATCCAGTCAGCGACAGCGAGAATACCGCCCAGGTTGTCGGAGGGGTGACCCCACTCGGCGGCAAGCCAGCAGTCATTGTAGTCGAGCCACCGGATCATGGCACCAATGTTGAAGGCACCATTGACAGGGTCCAGTTGGTAGGGAGTACCAGGGACACGGGTACCGTTGGGGACAACAGTACCCTCAACAACGGGGCCCAACAGCTTGGTGCATTCCTTGAATCTCAAGGCCTCCAATCCGCAACCCAGGGTGTCCAGGAAGACCAGACGGGCAGTGTCATACTAAATCAAACCAATCCATGAGTTACTTTCTTCCAGCGATGCGAATTAATTGACCAATCTTCCCGCCTCAATTGATAAATTTCATATTGAGGCCAAAAAATCAATTGTGTGCAAGGGAGAAGCCAATGGGCCCATACCGCCAAATCAGAGTTCACACTGTAGTTGTGAACATAATCAGCCATATCCTTGATCTCGGGATCATAGCTCCTCTCTGTCGGAGCAGAGGGAGCACCGTGCTGAAGAGCAGTCATTGTCGAGAACTGTGAAACTCGGGGAGCGCAAGGGTTGACGGCCTTGGTGAAGGAGTTGCGAGCGACAATGCGGGAGGAGGGCCTGGAGACGGAGACGATGCGGGATGGTAAAGTGCGGGGAGACCTGTGGGTCAGCCGTCTCAGCGCCGAACAAGAGGCAGACATGATGGGAAGGAGAAGGGGAAGAAAGAGAATGCAATACTCAGGAGACAGAAGGAGAGAAGAAGAGAGGAGAAGAGTTGTAATTAAGGATGGTCGCTTAGCAATGGAGGAGGAAAGGAAAGAAGAGGAGAAAAAGGAGAAAGGGGACCGCGAGGGATAATTGTTGAGCGAGTTCGACCTTCTCGCTGGACCGAGGCCGGTTCTGGTTGTTGTCCTGCGGTTACTCCCGGCTATCCGAGTACACGCTGTAAAATGTCCAGAATATGATCCTTCATCTACTGAGTACTAATGGTCAGACTGTCCAGACTTTCCTCCGGTGGTCGGAAAAACTGATTCATTCGAAAACTCCAGATCTGTGGTGCTTCTTCATTGCATACTGAACAGCATCCAACTGTCCTGATTATGGTGCTGCTCAGCTTCATTGGAAAACACTACGGATTCCATATTGTGACACAAGCTTGATTTTTCCACTATCATTCATGGGCTATCCAACAGTTGTTTGACCGAGAGTCGAGCGTCGAGGCAGGATCCTTCTCTGCTGGTGGTGATGGTCATAATCATCTCTTGGAGCTCCCCGCGGTCGGACGGCATCTTTTCCAGTTCCGCGGCTATAGCTTAACGCCATATAATGGACAGAGCATGTGGATCAGCCGATTGGCGATCAATTGACTACAGGACTCACCAGTATAGATATGGATCCTGGATGCCTCCCTTTTTTTTGGCCGCTCTCCAGACGGTCGCTTGGTGTGAACTGAATACGGAATCAAATTTTTCAATTCTACCACAGATACGAACGCGAATCGACGAAACCAACGCCTGTGCCCTCGTCACGAATCCCCAGCTCTGAATTCTTGCTCGTCTGTACGCTGCAACGACTTGATGATCTCTCGGTAAATCGCTTTGGACAGCGCAGGAGGGACGGCATTTCCGATTTGCTTCCGAACTTCTCGTGCAAAGCGATAGTCTAACGGAAACGTCTGCAGACAGGCGAACTCGCGGTTTGTAAAGCCCCGTGTGCCAGACGGATGGTAGTTGTTCTCCCCGCCGCTGCAGGTCACGGTTTTGGCCTGCCGGTTCGCGTCGAAGGGGACCCTCATTCCATTCCGCAGTCCTCGGCTCCTGGCACCTTCGATATCGTGATCCGGGGCATCTGGAGGGATGTTCGCTATCATCTGATTGATTGTGGTGTAATCGAAAAGACCCGATCCGGGCAGCCCGTGTGTGGGCTTTGGAAACGGTGGCAACAATTCACCTGGTCTAGAAACGATGTCAGCTTCTACCCATTGGAAAGCCAGGACAGGACAGACAGGAGAACACCACGAAACCAGATTGCTTACCCGGAGGCAATAATGATGAGCCTTCTTCGTGATTGCGGCACCCCGTAGTCCATGCAATTCAGGATTCTCCAACGAACAGAGTAGCCGATCTCTATGAAATCTTGAATGACTCTGTGAAAGGTTTCCTTGTGGCGATCAAAAAGTCCGCTGGTTTCCTCCATAGTGTGCACTCTCGGTCTCGATTTCTTAATCATGTCCGCACAGGAAAAGATGCACGCTGAGTTAGCATCGTCATTCTCACTGCTAATCGTATGGGCTGGAGAGAACGTCTGACACGGAGGAGAACCATGGCTGACATCCACTTTCAAAAATTCTGGCTCATTTGTCAAGAAACAGAAGATGTCACATGCTTCGCACACCGCAGTTGCGAAGTTCAGACGATACGTGGTAATCGCATGTTCAGACTTATCAAACGCCCACTTGATATGTAGACCGGCCTTCGAAGCACCACAGGAGACACCCCCTGCACCACAGAACCCATCGCCAAATGTATACTTGCGATGCTTTTTCTGCACTCTGGCGGTGTCTTTCTCAGTTTCGGTAAGATCAATGACAGGGTCCGCATCCAGCACTATGACCTGAGATTGTGGTTGGGAATTAACATCCTCACTACCAAACGGACGAGTTTCACCTCGCCATGACTCTCGTAATGACTTCGAATCAATCGCAAAACCTTCATCAGATTCTTGGAATGACAGGTACTCTACTGCTGACTGAGATGAATCAAGATTCTCCTTTAATCGACAGAACAGATCATTTGGCCGGATTTGTTTCTGAAGATCTTGCTCAAAATGGCAGCAGCTAGTGAAATGAATATTGACGAAACGCTTGACGAAGCTCAGTGGGACTTGTGTTGACTCATTAACGATCCAGACCAGTTCATTGGACCATTTGGGTATATAAGTTCCCTTGTGATTCCTCGTTCGGATCAGATGACGGCCTTGAAAGAAGATCTCTCCAGCACTATCTTGAAGCACAGTTGCTATTCTGAGATAAAGGCCATTGTGAAGTTCAAGGGAATGCCCCGCTTTGTAAACTATGCCGTCTACGCAAGCATGGTCAATAGGGCGCTTTTCCGATTCCGCGGCCTCTTGAATCGGACGAGGTGCCACCGCGGCTCCAGGTCGGCCCCAGTGTCGCAGAAGACGCTCAAAGCATTCATCGGTGAGATAATCGCCTTCTGTGACCAATAGCTCAGGGCCCGAGGTGAGGTCTATGATTTCTTGGTGAGTTTGGGGTCCTATGGGGAAAGGCGTTGGGGTTCGTCGGCTGCCTCCAGGGTGAGATTGTTCGTCATCAAGGAAAAACGACCGATCTGGGTCATTATCAACAGTCACACTGCTGTCAGTGTCGCTGTCGGTGTCACGGATGCCCGAGTCATCACTGTCATCGACATATATGGGCTCTGAAGGCTGTGGAAGCTCCTGGGAAGGGAGCGAATCATTCGTAGGACGGTTCATCTCCACTAAAGCAGGTAGAACTGGAGGATGATGGGAAGGCCTTTGAGCTATTCTGAATTGCCAAAGGTTTCGTAGAAATGTAGTCAACTAGGAAATGCTGGAAAAGAGAAACTTGGGAGGGGAAGGGAGTATAAGGAGCGTTAGAAATGAGAACTGGAAGATACGATGAGAC